TAATGCCAATGTCAGAGAACTATTTCACTGATACCAATGTCACATAGCTCTATGTTATTGATTCCAATGTCATACAGATCTTTGTCATTGATGCCAGTGTCACATAAATATATATCATTGATGCCAGACTCACATAAATATATATCATTGATGCCAGTGTCACCTAGATCTACGTCATTGATGCCACTGTCACATAAATCTATGTCACAGTGTACCTGAGGTGAGAGACTGAGTCAGGACAGTGTGCACAGTGTACCTGAGAAAGCAAACCACTGACATTTTGTTTGGTTTAATAAAGCAACTTTGTGGTGAATATCTAGGGTTGTTTGTATGGTTGTATTGGTTGTTTCTTGGTGTTGATAGAATGGAAGACTTACTAGTGAGAAGGAGAGTATTTTGTTTGGTTCCAAACTGGAAGTAGTTCAAATCAAATCAAATCAAGTTTATTCTCTATAAGGATTACAATGCTGAGTTTACAGAATTTGGATATTGTGTTGTTTACATGTTTTAAAATACTAGTTACAGAGGGGGCCACTAGAACACCTAGCATGGCTAGGCATTTCAGGCAGACTTAGATTAATTCTTAACTTTAAAATATTACAAATTATGAGGTAAGTTGGTATTATGGCTAAGTGACTAAATACTAGTTTGTGAGTTTAGCAATGTGAATGCTTTTGTTTTTGCACAATACATAATTTCAGTATTGGAGTATCACAGGCCAACTTATGACTAGTTAGGATTCGTTATTTTAAGATTAAGATTGATATTTCTGTGTTTATGGTCAAATGGGTGAGTGAGTGTAAGTGTGAACCACCAGGTGGTATTCATGTAATTAGTTGACAGGGTGTATCAGGGAGATAAGATGTTTTCTAATGGTAGTTTTGAAGGTGATGAATGTGTCTGCAGTTCTAGAGTTTTCAGGAAGGGCGTTCCAGATTGTAGGGCCTTTGACATGCATTGAATTTTTGTAAAGGTTTAGTCGGACACGGGGAATGTCATAGAGATGTTTGTGTCTGGTGTTATGCCTGTGGGTTCTGTCACAACTATCAAGAAAGAGTTTTAGGTCAAGGTTAATATTGGAATTTAAGGTCCTGTAGATGTAGATTGCACAGTAGTAAGTGTGGATGTACAGTGGACCCCCACATAGCGACCTTAATCAGTGCAAGAGGGCTGGTTGCTATGTGAAATGTTCGGTATGCGAATGAATTTTCCCCATAAGAAATAATGGAAATCAAATTAATCCGTGCAAGACACCCAAAAGTATGAAAAAAAAATTTTTACCACATGAAATATACATTTTCCTACACACAAAGAGAAGGATACATGCACAATAGTAGAGTAGTACATGCACAATATATATTGTGCATGTACTACTCTACTAAATGAAGAATAAATGACACTTACCTTTATTGAAGATGCAGCAATGACTGATGAGACACTGTGTCCTGGGAGTGCCTTTTCCTCCTGAGTACTGTAGGTCCTGTTTGGCATTTTCTTCCAGAACAGGCCTTATCACACTGTGTATGCCACTATGATTCTTAAATCTCTCAAACCAACCTTTGCTGGCTTTAAATTCACCAATATGAGCACTAGTTCCAGGCATTTTTCCCTGTTCACCTGGGTGTTAGTCGACTGGTGTGGGTTGCATCCTGGGAGACAAGATTAAGGACCCCAATGGAAATAAGTTAGAGTCCTTGATGATGCACTGACTTTTTTGGGTTATCCTGGGGGGCTAACCCTCCGGGGTTAATTGTTTCTCGGTAATTGTTTCACGTTAAGCCACACCAACAACACTCTCTCCACATCTTCGAGTAATACAGCTGATGGTGGTGCAGCAACAACAACAGCTGTGGTGCAGCTGACCATGGTGCAGCAGCAGCTGGGTGCAGCTGCAGCTGTGGTGCAGCAGCAGCTGTGGTGCAGCAGCAGCTGACAGTGCAGCAGCAGCTGACTGCAGCAGCAGCTGACAGTGCAGCAGCAGCAGCTGTACCACCAATAGTAGCGATGGTTGATTGGGGTTTATTATACAACCTGGCCAGCTCGGAGACACGCACTCCACTTTCATACTTATCAATGATCTTTTTCTTCATCTCTATAGTAATTCTCACCCTTATTGCTGTAGGGTTGGCACTAGAAGCTTTCTTGGGGCCCATGGTCACTTATTTTCCAGAAAAAATCACCAAAAACACTGTAATAATACGAAATGTTCCGATTGTATGCTTGGATGTTACCGCGGAGGCTGGCTGGTAAACAATGCCACCGGCGGAACATGTGAGCGTGGCTCAGGCCGCACATTGGACGCATCTTGGACGAAGGGCAGTGAGCGGGTTTTTGGGCGGTATGCGAGGCAAAATTTTTGCGATCAAAGCGTCCGGTATGCGGACTGTACGGTATGCGATGCGTACGGTATGCGGGGGTCCACTGTACTGAACAGGGAGTAAGTTTAGATCTATGAAGAGTGGGGGGGGTGTGTGTTGCCAGGGAAGGGATTTAGTGATTATTCGTACTGAGGCTTTTTGTTGGGTTATTATTGGCTTTAGGTGTGTTGCTGCAGTTGATCCCCAAGCACAAATAGCATGGGTGAGGTATGGATATATAAGTGAATGGTATAGTGTGAGAAGGGCAGTTTGCGGCACGTAGTATCGTATCTTGGAGAGGATCCCCACCGTTTTGGATACTTTTTTGGTTATGTGTTTTATATGGGTGCTGAAATTCAGGTTGTTGTCGAGGTATAGGCCTAGGAATTTGCCCTCATTATGTCTGGCAATTAAAGTGCTGTCGATCTTAATGTTAATTTGCACAACTCCTGCTCTGCTACCAAACATAATATACAGTGGACCCCCGGTTAACGATTTTAATCCGTGCAAGAGGGGTAATTGTTATGCGAAATAATCGCTATGTGAATGAATTTTCCCCATAAGAAATAATGGAAATCAAATTAATCCGTGCAAGACACCCAAAAGTATGAAAAAAAAAATTTTACCACATGAAATATACATTTTCCCACACACAAAGAGAAGGATACATGCACAATAGTAGAGTAGTACATGCACAGTATATATTGTGCATGTACTAGTCTACTAAATGAAGAATAAAATGACACTTACCTTTATTGAAGATGCAGCAATGGACTGATGAGACACTGTGTCCTGGGAGTGCCTTTTCCTCCTGAGTACTGTAGGTCCTGTTTGGCATTTTCTTCCAGAACAGGCCTTATCACACTGTGTATGCCACTACGATTCTTAAATCTCTCAAACCAACCTTTGCTGGCTTTAAATTCACCAATATGAGCACTAGTTCCAAGCATTTTTCCCTGTTCACCTGGGTGTTAGTCGACTTGTGTGGGTTGCATCCTGGGAGACAAGATTAAGGACCCCAATGGAAATAAGTTAGACAGTCTTCGATGACACTGACTTTTTTGGGTTATCCTGGGTGGCAAATCCTCTGGGGTTAATTGTTTCTTGGTATTCTCAATAAGCCACACCAACAACAGTGCTACAGCAGCAGCAGCAGCAGCAGCTGACAGTGCAGCAGCAGCAGCAGCTGTACCACCAATATAGCGATGGTTGATTGGGGTTTATTATACAACCTGGCCAGCTCGGAGACATGCACTCCACTTTCATACTTATCAATGATCTTTTTCTTCATCTCTATTGTAATTCTCACCCTTATTGCTGTAGGGTTGGCACTAGAAGCTTTCTTGGGGCCCATGGTCACTTATTTTCCAGAAAAAGCACCGAAAACACTGTAATAATACGAAATATTCCGATTGTATGCTTGGATGTTACCGCGGAGGCTGGCTGGTAAACAATGCCACCGGCGGAACATGTGAGCGTGGCTCAGGCCGCACATTGGACGCGTCTCGGACGAAAATCGGTAAGCGGGTTTTTAAGCGGTATGTGAGGCAAAATTTTTGCAATTAAAGTAAGCGGTATGTGAAATAATCGCTATGTGATGCCATCGTTATGCGGGGGTCCACTGTAGTAGGTTTTGCCAGTGTTAAGCGTAAGTTTATTGCTGTCATCCAAGTCGATATTTTGAGCAGCTCCTCGTTAACAATGGTGTTGAGGGTGGCAAGATTAGGGTGAGAGATGACATAAGTCGTGTTGTCAGCAAAGAGAATGGAGTTCAGGTGTTGGGATATGTTTGGAAGATCATTAATGTATATGAGGAAAAGCAGGGGACCAAGGACACTTCCTTGTGAAACTCCAGTATCAAGTGGCCATGTTGATGATGCTGTGTAGGATTTGAAATATGCAAGCGCATGGCCTCTTATGCCATAATGGTCAAGTTTGTGGAGTAGGATGCCGTGGTCTACTGTGTCAAAAGCTTTTCTTAGGTCAATAAAAATTCCTAGCGGATATTCCTTATTTTCCAATGTTGTGTAAAGCAGATCTAGCATTTTTATAATTGTATCATTAGTGCTTTTATTTTTCCTGAATCCAAATTGGCAGGGGTTGAGTATGTTTTGTGCCGTTATAAATGAATGTAGTCTCCTGTGCACGAGTTTCTCAAAGATTTTGGATAGCAATGGTAAGTTTGATATTGGCCTATAGTTGTTGGAAGTAAAGCTCAAAGTGACAGAAATATTTGATTATAGGCAGTTTCCATAAAGAAGGGTAGGAACCTCCCTGGCCCCTACATGTTGTTTACATGTTTTCAGTAGGGCTGCTTCAATTATTGGAATGGTTATATTTTTAGTACTCAGAGAATTATGGTATTGTGTAGGAGAAGTTACAGGGGACATACTGAACTAAGATAAAGTTGTTTAAGTGACTGGAATGTTTACAGTGTTTTTCAGCATCTTCATTAATCTGTTCTCCTACTATATTATTAATGTTCATCTACCATCATCACTAATCTATACTCAACTATTATCATAATACAGTCCACCACCTCTAGTTCATTCTCATCATTACTTTCTCCTCACCTGATAGTAAAAGTCATCTGCCTAATGTAATCACTGCATAACCATCACTATTCTATTTTTTGTGTTTCAGAGGCAGTGTTTCAACCTGAAGAGAGAGAGAAAGAGAGAGAGAGAGAGTCTGAAACAACATGGAGGCTTCATGTTCTTGGTCATCTCCAGACTTTGGTACTGCACAGTTGTCACTTCTGGTTTCTCCAATAATTTCTGTCTAACAGATTGAGCTACTTGGGGAAGTCACCCTCTTTGTATATTGAACTCTGTTTTTAAATTAAAATTTTTTGAATTTGTAAAATTAGTCACATTACCTTAAAATAATTGAATGGTTGGTTTCCTGTTCATAATTGAAAGAACATTAAGTATGTTGGCTAGGAACTGGATCAACTTAATTATTCAAATAGGCTAAAATAAGATGTTAAATAGGACAAATTGCTGATGTATATAGTTGTGCCTGAATAATTCTTATTTTTCTTTCAGATGTTGCATTTGTGGTGTCATAACTTGAGGAAAACATTCTTTACTATTTGAAAATTTGTGACACACTCAGCACTTTTAATTTTGGGAGTCACAATAGTGAAGGTGTTAAAGACTTAAATGACTTTTATGACAAACAATAAGATGCAAGACATTAGAGTTCCTTCAAGGAAACGGACATATCAGTGTTCTGAATGTCTAAAAGATTTTTCATGTAGACCATATCTGACACAACACATGAGAGTTCATACACAAGGAAAACCATATCAGTGTTCTGAATGTCAAAAAGACTTTTCATGGAGATCATCCCTAATAAAACACATGAGAGCCCATTCACAAGAAAATCCATATCAGTGTTCTGAATGTCTAAAAGACTTTTCATGGAGATCATCCCTAATACGACATATGAGAGTTCATTCACAAGAAAAATCCTATCAGTGTTTGGAATGTCTAAAAGACTTTTCACGGAGATCATCCCTGGTACAACACATGAGAGCCCATTCACAAGAAAAACCATATCAGTGTTCTGAATGTCTAAAAGACTTTTCACTGAGATCATCCCTAATACAACACATGACAGTTCATTCACAAGAAAAACCATATCAGTGTTCTGAATGTCTAAAAGATTTTTCACGGAGATCATCCCTAGTACAACACATGAGAGCCCATTCACAAGAAAAACCATATCAGTGTTCTGAATGTCTAAAAGACTTTTCACAGAGATCAAATCTAATACGTCACATGAGAGTTCATTCTCAAGAAAAACCATACCAGTGTTCTGAATGTCTAAAAGACTTCTCACAGAGATCAACCCTAATACTACACATGAGAATTCATTCACAAGAAAAACCATATCAGTGTTCTGAATGTCTAAAAGACTTTTCAAATAGATCAATTCTAATACAACACATGAGAGTTCATTCACAAGAAAAACCATATCAGTGTTCAGAATGTCTAAAAGGCTTTTCACAGAGATCATCCCTAATACGACACACGAGAATTCATTCACAAGAAAAACCGTATCAGTGTTCTGAATGTCTAAAGGACTTTTCACGGAAATCATCCCTAATAGAACACATGAGAGCCCATTCACAAGAAAAGCCATATCAGTGTTCTGAATGTCTAAAAGACTTTAAACTGAGATCAAATCTAATGCGACACATGAGAGTTCATTCACAAGAAAAACCATATCAGTGTTCTGAATGTCTAAAAGACTTTTCACGTAGATCATCCCTAATGCGACACATGATAGTTCATTCTCAAGAAAAAACACATTAGTGTTCTGAATGTCTAAAAGACTTTTCAAATACAGTGGATCCCCAGGTTAAGACATCATCAGATTAGTAATAACGTTTTTGCGTCAAAATATTGGCTCTGTTAATGACAATGAACTTGGTTTAAAGTCATTCATCCCAAACATGTCCGCGCGGGCATGAGCGGCCCAAACACTCCATGTACAGCTGGTGTGCCATTGTTTACCAGCCAGTGAGGACGATTCCACACATACATGCGATACATTTTGTATTATTCCATTGTTTTAGTGCTTGTAACTGCTAAATAAGCCATGGGCCCAAAGAAAGCTTCTAGTGCCAGCCCTTTGATAAAGAGGGTGAGAAACACTATAGAATTGTAGGTATTATAGCCTTATAGGTAAGGCTTGGGAGGGAGTGACTTCAAGGACTTTGAACTCTGCTTGGAGAAAATTGTGGCCCGAATGTGTACAAGAAAGGGATTTTGAAGGGTTTGGGGCTGACCCTGAGGAGCCTATGCAGTTGTGGAATCTATTGTGGCACTGGGGAATTCCATGGGATTAGATGTGAGTTTGGAGGATGTGGAAGAGTTGGTGGAGGGCAACGATGAAGAGCTAACCACTACAGAGCTGCAAGAGCTCCAGGTGCAACAACAACAGACCACAGCTCAGGAATTTCCTTCAGAGGAGGAGGAAGAGAGATGGAGGAAGTTGCCTTCTTCAATGATTGAGGACATTTGTACAATGTAGACAAAGGTACAAGCATTTATGGATGAACATCACACCTGATGCAGCTGTTGCAGGATGTGCTGGCAACATTGCAATGACAATTTTGTGTCCCATTTTAGGGAAATCTTAAAGACACACCAGAAACAGAGCTCTCTGGACAGATTTTTGGTGTGACAGGGGTCCAGTGACTCACGCTGGTCCTAGTGGCATTAAAAAACAAAGAAGGGAAATAACCCCGGAAAAGGACTTGGTACTTGAAGTCCTTATGGAATGGGATTCCCCTTCCAAAGAATAGTACACCTCCATCCTCTCCCCTCCTCCCGTCTCATCACTCATCAATAAGTCTTCAATAGAGGTAAGTGTCATTTTAGTAATGTTTTATTCTGCATGTCTCATTATTTTCTGTGTAGGGAAATGTATATTTCATGTAAAAAAATGATTTTGTTTAATACTTTTGGGTGTTTGGAATAGAGTAATTAGATTACCATTATTTCTTATGGGAAAATGAATTCAGATTAAGTCAGATTCGGTATAAGACCCACTCTGGAATGGATTAAATTATGTTAACCGGGGTCAACTGTAGATCAGATCTAATACAACACATTAGAGTTCATTCTCAAGAAAAGCCATATCAGTGTTCTGAATGTCTAAAAGACTTTTCACAGATAACAAAAAGAGGCACAATACCATGACTGGAGTGATACACAAATAACCCGCACGTAGAAGAGAGGAGTTTATGACGATGTTGCGGTCTGACTTGGACCATTTACAAAGTCACACTAACGAGGAGAGCAGGAAGGGTATATTTAGGCAGGAGAGGGTAGTGGTGGTAGTAGTAGTAGTAGTAGTAGTAGTGGGGAAGAAAGAAGGTGGAGGAGCCAGTCAAGTACTAAGAAAGAGGAGCACTGCAAAGGATCTAGGTGCCCACAGAGGGTAAGAGCAAGAACACAGAGGGGAATAAAATAATAAATAAATAAATAATGAAGGAACAAACACACAAGGCAGAAGAAAAACAACCCAGAAGAGAAAAAAAGGAAAGAGGAAAGGGGAAGAGGGAGAAGAAGAAAGAGGAGGAATCAGGTTAAGTCACAGGTGTTGTGAAGCTTGAAACATTTTACAATGTAGTGGGAGAGGAAGGCATCTACAGAGACGAAGCCAGGACTAAGATTCATACAAAGAAAGTTGTATATTAGGAAGGATTCAACCAGATGGTGACTGTTAAAGTTGGAAGTAGGGAAGACAGTTTTAGCAGGAGACCAGTCAATAGGATGGCTGTGATCTCTGACGTGATCACAGCCATCCTATTGACTGGTCTTCTGCTAAAACTGTCTTCCCTATTTCCAACTTTAACAGTCGCCGTCTGGTTGAATCCTCCCTAATACACAACTTTCCTTGTATGAATCTTAGTCGTGGTTTCGTCTCTGTAGAGGCCTTCCTCTCCCACTACATTGTAAAATGCTCCAAACTTCAGAACACCCGTGACCTAACCTGATTCCTCCTCTTTCTTCTCCCTCTTCCCCTTTCCTCTTTCCTTTTTTCTCTTCTGGGTTGTCTTTCTTCTGCCTTGTGTATTTGTTCCTTCATTATATATTTATTTATTATTTCCCCCCCCCCTCGGTGTTCTTGCTCTTACCCTCTGTGGGCACATAGCTCATTTGCAGTGCTCCTCTTTCTTAGTATTTGATTGGCTCCTCCACCTCCTTACTTCCTCACTACTACTTCCTTCCACCTCCACTATTACTACTACTACTACCACTACTTCCTCCTGTCTATATATACCCTTCCTGCTCTCCTTCTCGTTAGTGTGACTTTGTAAATGGTCCAAGTCAGACCTCAACGTTGTAAGCTCCCCTCTTCTACATGCGGGCTATTTGTGTACTTTTCTCAGAGATCATATCTAATACGTCACATGAGAGTTCATTAATGTCTAAAAGACTTTTTACGGAGATCATCCCTAATACAACACATGAGAGTTCATTCATTACAAAATTCCTTTTAGTAATGATTACCTTGATGCTGGTAATATGCTCTTAATCCAAGGAGTTATCCCTCACCTTCCTTGGATCAGATATAAATACCCTCACCACCTCATATTTTCCAGGGGCCATATGACTCATTCTGATTTAGCACTTGCTCTTGAATATAATAATTAATCATGAGGTAAACTGTATTTTTGAGTTACATTATTTTTTTGTTTTTGTATCAAAGCAGAATGACTCCCATTTCCTAGGGATTGTATGACCTTTACAGGTTTAGTGCTTCCTCAAAAATGAAATAATTCTGGCGTTTTGTATAAATGTTGATCGGGTAAACTGTTGTTATTTTCACCTGGAAGCTAATATATTCTCTACAGATCATTTTATGATGGTATTACAATCCAGGAGTCCCAAAGGCCTGTTAACCTGGGTGTAAAGGGAGCAAAATAAACACAGCAGAAAAACTTTGACTTGTACTATCCTTACCAATTTAGAACAGAAGTATGTACACTATATACACTATGTACAACAATAGGTATTAGTGCACTCCACGGTAAGCAAGGCAGAATAGAAGCCACTAGAGAGCAGACCGTACTGATTGAACGACAGGGCCCCATCATTAACCCTTAGCACCTGGTTCACTGGTTGGGGAGATAGCCTTTCAATGAGGGTGTGTACATGTGCCGAATAAAGGTTATGTACTCTTTGCATGCCACACCCCCGCCCCGAGAGGGCTCAGGATTAGGCTCCCACCTCCCAGTGGTAACCGTGCCGCCATGGCACCAAATAATGAGACCGCCTTTCCTCTCAACCATCCAACTCTTAGAACTCAGATTTATTTGTGACAAAAAGCCAAACCCTAAACTCAGAGCGAGACAGCAGACAGTCGGGCTAGCATAGGTCCACAGCGCGGGAGGATGGTATTCTGCACTCCCTCACTAAAAAAAAAAAAAAACCCACACCAGGGCATAAGAAAAAAGCTTGAAAGGGGTTACCACAGGTAACCTAACACATCCTAACCTAATATACCATTATAATTATAATATAGAGTAACATTGTTAGACTCTAGATAAAGAGTCTGCCAAATTATTATCTTTGCCAGCAATGTGTAATATTCTGAGAGAATAGGATTGCAGTCATAGACTCCATGTCATGAGCCTCGTATTGTGGTTCTTCATGGCTTGGAGATATACTAGAGGGTTGCCGCTATAGACAGTGACCACGTGCGAAGTCTGGCCTACATAAACATAGAAGTGCTCCAAAGCCAGTACCAGCGTGAGGGCTTCTTTTTCGATAGTAGAGTAATCCCTCTGGTGCGGCTGGAACTATGACGAGTAGAATGCTACAGGCTGCAACTCCTCGTCCCCGTTTTGCAACAGTACTGCCCCAACCCCAGACTCACAAGCATCAACCTGTAATGAAAAAGGTTTGGAGAAGTATGAAGACAAAAGAATGGGTGCAGTACACAATAATCTTTTTGCTTTATCAAAAGCACCTTGACAATCTGGGGTCCAATTAAAGGGAACTTTGTGACTGGTGAGAGAGGTAAGAAGTGCTATAATATCTGAAAAATTCTTACAGAATCTTCTGTAAAATCCTATCATGCCTAGGAAACGTTGAAGAGATTTCCTATCACGTGGAACTGGATAATTTTTAATGGCAAGAACTTTAGCAAATTTAGGAGCAACTTTGCCACTACCTACTTCATTGCCTAGAAAAGTAAAAGTGGCTTGGCCAAAGGAAGACTTAGATAAATTAACAGTTAAATGGGAACTCTGAAAGGTCTCAAAGGGAGCCTCAAGTCTAACTAGGTGTTGATCCCAAGTATCAGACACCACTACAACATCATCCAGGTAGGCTGCCTGCCTTCAAGTCCTTTAACCCTTTCAGGGTCCAAGGCCAAAATCTGAAGTGGTGCCCCAGTGTCCAAGAAACTTTGAAAAAAAAAATTATTTTTCTTAAAGTAATAAAGATAATATTTTTGTGAAGGTAATAAAAAACAAAAAAAAATCTGATCAGTACTTACCGAGATACAGCAGCAGGAAGTTGACCCAAAATGACCTGGTGGCGGCAACATCAGTGACTTCCGCAAAATTGCATTTTTTTATTTTACGTTTTTTATACTTTATTCTTTTCTATTTTTTTCTTTTTCTAGTAACATTTGTGGCCTGTGAGACCAATATAATGTATATTGTATAAGTGTACACTCATTGTATTCAAAACAATAACTGCACTAATTTCTTTATCATTATATTGCTTTCAAAACTTGTTTACAAGTTTATTATAAACAAAATGATGAAAATATTAGTGCAGTTGTTGTGTTGAATACAATCGGTACCATATAGTACTATATGGTACCATATGGTACAATGGCACCATATGATACAATGGTACCATATGGTGCAATGGTACCATATGGTACATTGTACCATACAGTACAA